ACTCAGACCTTCAGGAGTGAGAAATGCAATTCTGTACAGCTCCCAGAAGAGAAAACACCAAGATTTTCCATGTCATCGGAGATCCTGGAGAATTCTGCTCAGGTACACAGCTGACACACTGTTACATGGGTCTGAGTTCAGAATGCCCAGCATTTTTCCAAAATTCAGTGACCTTTAAAGAACGTTGAATCGGATATCCAAAATAAAGAGCCTCAGAGTCATGAGCCTTTATCTACATTTTCTGTTAGCACTATTACTCACAGCTGTGCCCAGAGACTGCTATTGTGCAAACATGAGGGAAAGTCCTCATATATTTAACTTTTCAAGCAACATTAGGAATAGGTCACTGGGAAAATGATACATCCGTTAATAAATTAACACAGCCACCCCCAACTCAGTTGTATAGGCAGTATGCTATGATGAGAAATGAGGCATTACACCAAAACATCCACATCTGAGCGTCCAGAGGACAACATCTTCACTTGCTCAGTTTGTCCCATGTAACTCCATTTTCACTGCATCAGAATAACATAACAGGGGAGAACAATCAGCAAACACATCCTACAGGGAGCCAAAATGTGATCTGATGGCTCAGTTTAGTTATCCAAATGAAAAAAAAAGTGGGTCTGGATCCAGACTTTCTAACGGTTGTAGGCATTTGAACGTAGAGAATCTGAACTAGTATGAGCCATCTTAACTGTGAGGAACTTCTAACCCCAAACTTCTTTTTCGCTGCGTTTCAAGCAACATGCTTCTCTAATTTCAGTATTTGGAAGTTTGCTTCAATAAAATAACTTTTTGATTTCTGACAGCTCAGCATTTTGCAAATTGCCCAATGTCAGCTTTTTCAGTGATGCATTCACTTGCAGAGCCTATTCACACTGGGATAGGCTGTCTGCAAGTTCCTTCTTGACAGCCACCCTTCACAAAGCAGGCATACATTCTAAATCAAGCTCTGATTACAAATCTACCCAACCTCTGACTACAAAGAGGGCTTTTAGTGCAGAATTTCGTCTGTACATTGTTTTGATATATTGATATGACTGCTCCATTCATTGGGAAACAATTTTATCAATTTTAGTTAATCGAATCAAGAAGATGAATGAACAGAATGCTTTCTGTGAATCAGAAGTCTAAACTGGACAAGAAATACCAGAGAGAATGTGAGCTTGTTTTCTGCTTTTGTAGTTTTATCAGAGATTAGGTCCTTGGGTAGAAACTAAAGTAGAACAGCAAAAGCCATATTTGTGTATTTTTCAAAATTAGACTTTAGTAACAGGAATATCAAGACACAAAGAATAACATTTCAAAACACAGAAATTTCCTTACACTTGTAGCAATCCCTCATCCTCTATTATATCACTGAAACAAGGCTCACTATGAACTTACAGTACTGCAGCTACAGAAAGAAGTTATAGTTATTACAAAATGATTTAGATTGCACCATCATAGTACACACAAATATGCATTAAAAATGTTTTATTATGCTAACATTCTTCTCTTGGATTACTGTATATCAGAAAGATGTAATTATATTAACATGATTATTCCATAACTTACTTGGGGTGCTGAGCAACAAGCCAACATTCATCTCTGTAATTTTTATCATGCTTAGGCTCCGTTTCTGACTACATGTTTGAAAGGATCAAAATCCACTCTCGATGATAATTCCACAAACATGGATATTTCAGGCAACACAGAAATGAAAAGTGAAATCAACTGATCTGTCAGGCATTGCTCAGTATCTGAACATAAACATATTGCACAAAACCCACAAATGTCAGAATATGCATAACTGATCCTAAGCAAGCCTAACTTACAGCCACATCATAAGGTTCTGCTGACAACAACAGTTTTACAAACTGAAGTATTTAAGGACTTCACAGAAGCCTTGTGCAATTGTATGCTGGCAAGCAATACCTTCAGCAGCACCCAGAGCTGAGGGGATCACAATTACCATCCAGTGCAGGTGTTGTGTTTAGAGGTAGGAAAGCAGTATTTAGAGACTGCTGAAGCTTCCAAGTGGTCTTTTAAAAGTACAGCATTTCTGTGGTAAAATTAAGTATATTGAATGCCTGATGGCGAGAGATCTTTTCATTCAGTTAAAGGGAAATCCCTGATTTTACAGTTATGGAAGCTCTACTTCTCAACGTTAGTGAACAAAAGATAGCAGTTTCATTTTCCCTTAAGCAGTCATTTTGTTCCAGACACAACTAGCCTAATTCAACCTCTTAAATGCTGAGAACAAACCCACTTTGATGCATACATCAACAATTCCCCTCCTCCCTTCCAGTACTTTAACCCACAAAATAGCCTATATTGGAAAGAACAAATTCTATACAACTGTTCTGAGGCAATTTTAAAACACATATGTAAGAATATCATCATTTTAATTTATACACATTTAACTCCCAAAATAAAACACATTCAATAATTTGCTTCCCATTCTCCTTAGTTACCAAAAAGTTGCCACCAGCATGTCCCATCAGGAATATAGCAAGCACCACTGGGTTCTAAAGAGCAGCAGAAAGATGTCATGAAAAGACACACAGAGACCCAAATGAGACCTGCTGTCCAGCAGCCATCCTGCTCTTCCATACAGCACTGTACTCAGTGTGGAAATTTTGGTCAGGTCTTCTTAAGAGTAAGCCTAATGCAGAGGGGCAGGCCATTAGAAACAGAAGGAAGTCTAGTTAAAAAACACTTGATTGAACAAAGAGATTTTTGAACCACCTCCCCATTCTGCACACAGACCTTGCAACAAGCATTGTTCCCCTTAGAATTTTTCCTAACCTTCAGGTCCTCCATTTCCTCATCTGCATTTATCAAGCAATTCAGTTCCCTAGCCAAGTATCTTTATTACTTCAACTGCAGCTGCAAATGCAGTGTTGTAAGTTACATTAGAAGAAAGTATTTTAAGGCCTACGAAAGTAAAAACCAGTTATTTCCATAAAAAGTCTTTATGTAAATCATAAAGAGTAGTGAGAATACAGTCAGTGCAGCAAGAGAACAGACAGTGCAGTCACACCATTAGCACAGCAGGTCCCCATTTTTCACTGAAAAACAACATCAGGAATGTGTTGCTAACACCTTACCATTACAGACAGGTAAAAAGGAAATGGGATGCTTTAAATAGCAGGTGTTTGCAAAGAACTGGCAGTTGTCACTTTGGGGTGTCTGACAACTCGTCATTTATATCAAACAGGACACAACTCTGGTAAGCTGGCATGCCTCCCAAACCATGGATTGGCTAGAGGAACCTGCTAAAAGAGGATGAGCTCAGCCAGTGTAAAACAATAAACTGAGTAGAACTGCAAAAATGACACAGGGAAGCAAGGTGATGAACCACTATATTTTCTTCAAATATTAAAAAGTTTTAATGTTAAAAATATCAAAAGCCCTAACAATACTTCAGCTGCTTCCTCCTCTGCTCTTCACAAATTCAGTCCCATCAGATCACAAGAAAAGATTCAAAAATCAGTCTGCTATTAACAGCTGACTTCAGCAGTTCAATGACCATCCACTCCAACTGAACATGCAGTGACGGTGCATGCAGGCAGAGACCAGCTTCTTTATTGATAGGTTGTTTTTCTAAGTTTCTTTTTGTAGAGTTTCTAAACACTATGATTGCCACAAATAAGCAAAACAGAAAATAAAAAGCTTCCATACCGCCTAATTCTTTTAAAAGATCTTTTTTTAAAAAAGTGAGTGTTTTATTGCCCATTTTGTACTTATATTTTGTAACTCTGACAAAAACTTAAAAGAAGATCAAGCATCTCTCAATATTTCCTAAGATTGTTTTGCTCTAAAACATAGTTGCTTCAGTACAAAAGACAGACTAGAGCCTTTTCATTCAGCTGTCCTGCTTTGTTGTTAATATTCAAATTCTTTTTACAGTGTTAGATTTTGCTCTCAAGCGTTCCTGCTCTTTTGCTGGTTTTTGAATCAAGCTATTGTACCTGAATTTCTATAAAAATTGCTCCAAGTAATATACGTCAAGTTTTCAGAGACCATTTGGTCAGATTCTAATAATGTCTCCTGGGAGCTGACACCAACTTCTAGCAGCAGGTCGAATGCTGTAGATTAGGATAATAAAACACATGCTGCTGCAGCTTCAAAAACAAACAAAAACCACAACAAAAAAGCAAGTCTGCCTTTATCAAGCTGAAGAATCATGTTTGGTTTTTTTTGTGGGCTTTTTTCCCCCCTCTTTTAAGTAGAGAATGTACCATTGCAAACATTTTGATCCACGTTACACAATTCTTTTTGTTTTTATGATGATTTACCGCATTTTTTGCACTAAACTAAAATATGTCTTTATTTAGACAATGCAGTATTTTTTCCCTGTTTTGAAATACAAAAAATATATTTTTCAAAGTAAAGATGTTTTGGTTCAATGCATTGGGTTCTTTTTTTCCTGAATTCTTTGTGTAAAGGCAAAATAGACAAAATGTCCTGAGAATTATAGAAAACCACCAGCTTAACAAGAGGCTGGTATTGTTCCTCCACATTAACACTGTCTTACAGTACCTGCCAGTGTAAGAAAAACTATATATTTCCCCCTTATAATTCACTAATATTTCTTATACTACTGCAACTATGAATCCCAGGTGGATTAAGGCTTATTTGACCTCTTTGGTTAAAGGCAATTCAGTGCGTAATGATTTTTTACACTACTCCGTAAAATGAACAATTTCACATGCATAAATGCTAACAGGAATCAACATCTCCTGTTTCTTTCTCCGACCTTCAACAACCTTGTTCTTTGCAGAAAAAAACCAACAGTTTTACTAATTCATAAGCACTCTGCAGACACAGGCAGCCTAGAGAGAAATCTTTTCAGCAGTCGCAAAGAAAAGAAACATGAGAAAGCTTCCATAAAGATTCTAAGAAATTCTGAGAACCCAAAAGAATAGAAGGAAAAAAGATTAAAAAAAAAAAAAAAAAGGAGAAAAGAAAAAGAAAGAGGTGTGAAGATTTAAAATATTCCCAATACTCACTGAAAGCAGCCACTGCAAGAGCCAGTGTGACAATAATGGAGACCCAGGAAACCCACAATGCCTTCTTTCTGTAGCTTTGAGCTTCATGAGGTTTTAGCCTTGTACTGCTTTCTAGTAAACCTGATAAGCAATAAGCAAAGAGGGTATGAACAATACATTGCTCTTTTTAAAGGCACAGCTGTGTTAGTTCAGACCTAAATCTCACATTCACATTCTATATTACTTTTAGAATCAATAGAGAATCAAACCCTCCTCACATGATCATGGTTAGGTGAATGAAGCCATCAAAAATGTATGAGTAAGCAAGCAAAGCACACACAAGCTGTTTTGATTTCACAAAGAATGCAAAGCTTGCACCTCGGTCACTTAAAAGAGCACTGCAACTGTACAGCAGTGAACAGAAATTCCCATCACCGTTTTCCACCTTTACATCCACACAATGAAGGGCCCAATGCTACACCACTGAAACCAAAAATCATTTCAGGAATTCAGGATCCTGAACATAATTAACATAGGAGAAAAATGCAAGTCTGACAGTCTCTGAGAAGTAACCTACCAGTGCACAGAAATACTGTGAGCATATTGCTCATCAAAGTAGAAGCAGGCACTCTTTAGAATCAAAGCTATCACAGTTGAAAAGACCCCTTGAAGCACAGTCCCACATAGCAAGAATACACCCCCAACCAGAAGCTGCATTAGGGACTGACTGAAGAACAATCTGGCCTTACTGCAATCAGGGTAAAAGTCTGCTAATAGAAGCAAACAGGACTGCTTTCTCTCATTACTGATGCTTTCAATTTGTGGAATTTTTTTTCCACTTGTCTTGAATAGCAGAAAAGAATTCAAGTTAAAAAATAAAATGAAATTTCTTTAATTGGCTTTTGTTCTCTCAGCCTGAGTTTTAAGCCACTTTTTGAGATGCATTCATAACCAAACAGGCTTGTCTTTTGTTTATCCCATTCAGATTCTTTCCTGCTTAAGATACAAACACTTCTTTTTCACCAGCACGTTCCTACTCAAATCTGCTCAGCTGGTAAGAGAAAGTGCGATGATTTTTAACCTTCTTAGTAAATTACTGGAGGAATTGTGGGTGGCTCTTCTCAGATGACTATCTTGCCTGCCCCCAGTGTACACAACACCAGTTTAATAATGCAGTCTTTCATCTGGTCTCACACCTTAGGCAAGGGCTAGAGAACAGGAGCGCTGGCAGACAAAGCAGCAGATTACAATCTAACAGCTGAAGCTGGTAATATCCTCACCTTCCCCACTTTTATCTCCAATCTTTCTATGATGGCTACTGCCGCTTTGAGGGTGGGGACAACCGATCTGCTTATGGGTGTACTCCTGAATCTACATCACGCTTAACTCAGTTCATTAATGTTACCAGATATTAATTTCAACTGACTGTAATACGCTGGCTGTAAACTGCATTGGTTTTGGAATCAATGCAGAAGTGAATCAGCCATCTCTGCCTCAGGGGCAGCATGTGTCAGTGAGGAGCAGGCATCCAAGGGTAGGAACAATTTCAGCCGCCAGATTTTATTCTGCCATTTCAAGCCCGTCAGAATGACCAGTTCTAGTCCAAGTCTTGTTGGTCACATTCACTCCCTCTTGGAAAAATGTTTCACATTTTTTTATTCCTGCAAGCAAAGTGGACAGAGTTTCTCTATGAGAGTCCAGAAAGAAATTGGGAAAATTGAATTTAACACTATTCCTGTGTTTTCAGAAAACTTAAAATACTGCCTGCTTCTTGTACTATACCCTGCCCTCTTTATGAACAAAAAATGAAGGCCTATTATGAAACAATGTTTGCTTCTTACTACATGAGTTCTTTGTCTGATACCTCAAATCTACCAGATGACTGAAAGGTCTCAGTCCCTTACAGTGCTGCACAGCCATCTCTTACATAGTCTGCCTTCACTTGTGCAAAGGAATGTCAGTATTTTTGCAATGTTTCACCCATATTTTGTCAGTATATATAACAATACACAGTTTAATTGCTATCTGATATGAGGTCGTTAACAACAGATCTTGAAATAAATAATTAATTTCTACTAACGTAATCATGCAGAGAGCACCTTCTTATGTTTGTGGGTTTTTTCCCCCTTCTCCCCTCTCCCCAGTTAAAAATTCTAAATGAAGGCCCAAATCTTGTTGGAATGCAAAACAAGGTGGTTTCCCTAAGTCAATTCTGAGTAACAAGACTGCAAACCTGAAATAAAAACAGAAGTGAATGGCAGACATCCTCATTTGGTTCATTCTTTAAAGACATCCTACAGTTCATGGCTACTGCTCACTATTACCTGGGAAGACCAACATATGCAGTTGATAATTACAAATCAAATAATATCCTAATTAAATTGAGGAATGAATAATAAGCCCCACGGCTAGCATAGAACTCCTGATTACTATTCATGTGTCAAGCACATGTCCAGTATGACAGAGACTGCAATCCTTATAAAACAGAACCACTTCTGCCGTGTGTGTGTGTGTGTTTCTCTCTCTCAAAATGGCTGGTATATTCCAGTTATCAGAGAGGTGATCCCTTCCTTCCTGTAAGAATTCAAATACATTTACCATATTTAACGTTTTCATCCCTTAGAAAGATTGTATTATTCTCAGGAGTGTCCTAGGGGATGGCATGAAATAATACAAACTCATTCACATCACTGCCAAACCCATAACATGATTCGCATATTACAAATCAACACCAGCTCGTTATTTTACACACAACACAATTCAGAAGGTAAACCTCCATCATTTTTTTTTTTCCACTGACCATAAGAAAACAAATTTTAAGCAACCATTGGGGGCTGAAAGATACTCTTTCAGTATAATCTGCATTGCAACAAAAATGAAAAGCTAATATCTACTGCTAAGATTCCTCCACCCTAACATTAACATACTGGATGTTTTTACTACCAGTATTTTATTTCACACACAGACATCCCTGAAGTAAAGAAGAGATCATGAGCTGGTTAAACCCACTGGATTTTTATATATATATATTTTTTCAGTATCTTCCTATATTAGCAGATTTTCTTCAAAAAAAAAAAAAAAAAAAAAAATCAGAAGGAGAAAAAACCTGCCTAACAGTTGCAGAACACAAGCTTGGCATATTTGTGAAGCAATTCTAGGATATTCTTTACCATATGCTGACTTACCAGAAGTACTTTTCTGTTTGGCTAAGAGATCATTTTAAAATGTCAAGACAGAATTTGTGGAAGAGATAAGGCAAACAGAAAATTGTTCATCTAAGACATTAGAAGACCCCATCTGAAAAATTACCACTCATTCTAGATATGCATCTTGCTGAGCAAATATCTTGTTCTTAAATTTGAGGTTATTTTTTATTTTTAGCAAACATGGAAGTATCATCTCTATAACTGGATCTGCTATGATTCATAGGAAAGGATCATTAGAAAAAGTACAGTCTAAAAGGACAGACTGTAACAATTTCAATATGGACAACCTGCAAAAAGCATAGCAGGATTTCCTCTTTAATTGTGGAATTGTGGACTGGGAATTGTGCTTGCAGATGGAATTGGTGACTATAGGAAAAGCAATGAGAAAAAGATACTGCAAAGGCCACTGAGAGAGTGTGAACATGGAGAAAGAAATAGAATCAGCAGCTTTAGTCTCTTCTCACTCCAAGGAAGAGATAAGGCTATGTATATCAGATTCTCCCTTATAGGAATTCATACCAAGATGGCCAGCTTTCATCTTTAGCTCTGTCATACTGGGCACAAATTAAGAGTTTCTGCACTCAAACATCCACATTTGAACCCCAACCAAAATCTGTGGTGCCCATGATCTAAAATAGAACCAAAGCCTCAAACTGCCCCGAGACAAGATGTCTGTCCTCCACCACTGAATGCCACAGTCAGGCACCCCTGGGAAGCGGATGTCCCCAGCCCCAGAGTGACTGAAACCTGCCAGGAAGATGGTGACTGCTCTTCCCCACCGCTGCCCTACTTCACACCTAGGAGATGTAAGCAAGCACAACAGGAGTTTGGAGAGCTGGGGAAAGAATGGGAGATACGGGGTTACGTGTACGATGGGAACGTGGAAGTGACTTTGGGATGCTTAAAGAAAAAGGGGGGGAAAATGCAAGAGAGATGCTAAGCCCGGTGTGTGAAATAAAAATGGAGACAAATTGCGTGAAACGGGAGCCTGGAGGCGTCATGGAGGCATTACGGAGGAGGGTTACAACGGCAGCTGGCGGCGCTCCCAGGGGGCAGCAGGTAAGCCAAGAGCCACGCACACAGGGAACGGCGTCCAAAAAGGCTAAAAGCTAACTGACGCGGTTTGGAAGCCTCGAGCTTTCCATCCCCGGTCAGACAGCCGATAAATAACAAAATAACAACAGCTTCGTGGGGCGGGGGTAGCGCAAGTGCCACGACGGGAGCGCAGCGCCCTGCCCGCCCCGCTCCCCTCACAGCCGAGCGGCTCTTCCCGCGCAGCGCCGCGGCTGAGGCGAGGCGGCAGGCGGGCAAGTTTCGGTCGAGGTGGGAACGGCCACGAAGGGAGTTTATAGAAATATCTCGGAAAGGGAAAGCCTGGGGTAGGTCGGAGGCAGGTCGATAAGCGGATGCCGGCTCGGAGGGGCCCGGGGACGGAGCGGGGAGCCGACGGGGCTCGCCCCGAGGGAACCGTGCGAGGCGCTCACCTCTGTCCTCCGGCCCCTCGCCGAACTGCCCGCTCTCCCCGATCCGCAGCTGCTCCTGCTGTTGCTGCTGCTCCCGGGGAGGCGCGGGCGGGCTGCTCCCGGGGGGCTGCACGATGGCGGGGTCCGGGGTGCTGTCCAGGGCGGCTGCGGGCGGCTCCATGGCTCGCGGGAGTCGGGCGGCGGTCGCGGAGCGAGGAGCGAGCGGAGCATCCAGCCCGGGCGCGAGCCCGGAGGGAGGAGGCGGCTCCGGCTCAGAGCATCGGGGAGACGGGGAGCGGACAAACTCCTCCGGCCGCTCCCCGCGGCCGCCTCATCGCTAACCTCGCCGCCGCCGGGGGTGGGCAGGTGGGAGAGCGGTGCCGCCTCCCCGCGCCGCCCGTCCCCTCCCCGCCCCAGGGAGCGGCGCTCCGCCGGCGGGAACGGCGCGCGGCCCCGCGAGGAGCGGCGCGCGAGGGGCGTCCCGTGCGGCCGGCTGCCCTCGGGGCGGGCGGGAGGGGCTGCGGTGAGCCGCCCCGGGGGTGATCGCCCTTCGGAGTCCGCAGGTGGCTCCGGCACCGTGGGCGTCATTACGGCGGCCGGCCGGGTCGGTCCCTGGGGCGAAGGCTGAGGGCAGCGCTGCCCTTCTCCAGAGCCCGCGAGGCAGAAATTTTGTTGTACTGACCGCCCTTTGTTAACAACGTTAGGCTAAAACCTGCCTTAAAAGGTGCAACGGCCTCGTGGAAGGGTGAGATCGGAGCCGGAGGCTTGCTGGCACCCAGAGGTGCTCCCGGTTCACTCAGCTGCCGTTCCCGGCGCTGTGGAACAGAGGGGAAAAAAAATAAAAGCCTCGGGAGAACAGAAGTGGAAAAAATAGAAAGTGTTACTGATAGATCCGTGCCAGATCCGTTATCTTCTTCTTCTCTGCTGGTTCCTAATGACTAAATCGAGAGGTGCAAATAAACAGAAGCGATTTCCATGCTAGCACAGCTCCCAGTTGCGTGCTCGGTAGCATGCAGATAAATTTTGGAACTGCATTGTGCTTGGACTCGCATCTAGGAAAATATCAGAAGGCCATTAGGCACTGCAGCCCAAGCACTCCACTGATATGTACATATATGATCTCTATTACGTTAAATAAAGATGAGGTTGTCTTTCTCTCTTGACAAACCAGCAGATCTGGGGAGTACAGAAAGGCCAGGGAGAAACTATTAGTTGTGCAAATGTATGAATATGATTTTATAAGCTGCCGATCTTGCCTTTAAAAAAAGTTTTTGTGATGCTTTAGGAATGCCAGTTTGGGAATGGTTCATGGAACATCACAATGGCTTAGTTTCCCCTTAAAACACCTCTTGATCCTACATGGCAACCTTCAAGATCAATTGCATATATTTTTTTAAAAAAAATTACTTGAAAAATTAAATACGAGTAAAGATTAAAGAAAGTGACATCAGTTGTTATTTTAGAAACTGGCTGGCATTCATTTTTGAAGTCTTCAGGCCCCTTTCATCTTCACCCTTAGCTATCCCACCCTGCTTTCTGATCGTAGGCTCTTGCTCTACTAGATGGATCTACATGAATATGAATATAAAGAATACCTAGGGTATTTTTATTTTCCCCTCATGTAATGGATACTATAGTAATATGGACTATTTGTTCCTACTGTCAAAAGAGTTTCTCACCTGCATAAGCTAACACAAGAGAGTTATTTTGAGGGAAATGTTTCTTGAGTTTGGGCTTAGATGGGAGAAGTTGGAAACTATTGATTGAAAGCGTTGTTTTTTTTTTCTTAATGGGCAAATTATTCACAAAGGTTTGGTGACATTTGAACCTCCAAGATGTGAGGAAAGATCTGTACATGTATGCACATAAAGGTATGAATGAAAAGTAGAAAATGCCTTCTTTTATTTTCTTAAAGAAATTGTCACTTCTCTCTGTCACCTAAAACGTGCTTGTAAAGAAACAAAGATCCTTAAATGAGCAGAACCAGTTTTGTAGCCTGGTGAGAGACAAGGGACTGGGGCCAGATCTCTTTCCAGGATCTGGCAGGGATACAAATACTTCTGCTTCCATGTAGAGTTCATACAGTCCCTTGAAATTGCTGCAATAGGTTTAATGCTCCCTAACTATTGCAGGATACTCTCTCTTTTAGGAAGATGTGTCCATTCCTTGCATCAATGGGAGATAGACCAGCAACTCTCATCGAACAATACCTCCTTTCTCTAAGTCTCTCTAAGCTACTTTAGCATTTTTATATATAATTTACAGAAATGGTCCCAAGAAGAAAGTGCCTGGAGATTCCCAATTCAGCTTCTTTACAAGGAAGTGAAAGCAGTAGGTTTCCAAATGATTTGAGGGAAGAAAAAAAAAACAAGGCACCAGGAAGACCTCACCACAGTTTTCAATTCTCATATATCCCTTTTTCTTTTTTTAGATGTTCTCAGCTGCTGTTCTTACTGACTGGCAGGGTCTGCAGCTGTCTGTGGATAAATGCTATAGTGTTCATGCTATAGCAAAGAATATTAGTGTTTCTTTTAAATTACTCTATTCAGTACTTTGAAACATGGCCTCACGTGAGAAATTATGTACTCAGCCTTTAACAAATACAAAGTCGATACTTTAAGCAGCTCCACAATGGAGAGGCTTTCAGATCAGGCAATTATTTATATAAGCTAACTACAAAAAAATCAGAAAGACTACCATGCCTTAGAAGCTGGAAAGTGCTTTCCTTTCCAGCATTGCCTGCTATTTCTCATGACAGCTTCTTCAACCAAAGTATATTCCATTGGATAAAGAAGTAGGGTTGGAGTCTTAGAGGCCTGAGTCTGATTTTCTAGCCCTGTTGTACTCCTTGTGTAGCAAGCATGTACACAAAGATAATTAAGAGAAAAAGGTCTGACCATAGTAATTATATAATATTATTTCTTGGCCCCTCAAATATCCCTTTGTTGGGTACGAACAACAAGAACAAAGTAAGAGGAAAGGAACCATTTCCCTGGGTTCAGTCTGGGTAGACTGATACCATGCCAAATGCTGCAGCTGCTGAAAGATTAATACATGCACACAGAATTTTGTTCTCTGCTGGAACCACCTGCACTTTCCATAGCATTTTGGCTTACATAAAAAGGTGACTCCAAACAAGATGGAGCTCTCTTGCACCACACCAACCAGAAAAAAATTATGAGAACTCCTATTTGTCTTTATCTGGATTGTCTGTGGTCTGGTTCTGCTGAGGCTTGTGGTGGTTTGTACTTTCTTCCTTTCTAACCCCTCTCCTTCTTTCTTCTGAAGAAAAGAAAAATCACTCTCAGACTTGTGATTTTTCCTTCAGGCCCACTCTACCTCCCAGCATCTACAGAATTTACTGTATTCAACAAAGTTTGGATTAGGTCCATCTATTTTTTCTTTTCCAAGGTAGACATTCTCCTGAGAAAATAAGCAATCTCTCAGCAGCACGGTAGTCTGTCTTCCTGAGTCACAGCCCCTTTGCTTTACTCAAATATTTCTTCCATACTACCATCAACACCTATTATGGCACAGCAAAGAGTGCCACAGTGCAAAAAGGCAGAAAGAATATGGGGCTACTGCATCATGTAGAATGAGAGTGGAACCAATGGGTGACAATAGTGAAATAGGTCCTTGTCTTTTAGTCAGCACTGCATGAGTGCAGAACATCTCTTATTCCTTCTCAATCTGTGTAGGGTTTAGAAGTATTGCATGTTCATTTGTCATTCTGAAAATTGTGGACTTCATGTTTTATTTTCTTGTTAGTACTACTGACACAAATGTTTTCACCTGTGTATAATCAATGAATATGCAGATGTTATAATTATGAAATATACCACAGAGTTCAGCTAAGCAGGTTATTATGCCAAAAAGAATAAATAAGAGTGCTTACCCTTGTCCTAGGCTCACTGTAAAACTCCAAAGGAAGAATCTCCAGAAAAGATCCTTCCCCACTGGTAGTCAGCTCTTAAATGGGTCTAGGAGAGGTGCAGCCAGGCTCCACCACTTCCAGCAGCACAGGTGAATTGCCTTCAGCTGTGCTCCCAGGTCTGACTCATTGCTCACCTCAGGTGATCAATCAGAGGTTCAGGCCCTGGTTCAGCAGTTCCCACACACCTGAAATAACAGAACACTGTGGTGTGCCCAGAAACTTCCAAGAAGAAAATTTTCTTGATTTCATTAATATTAATTAGTCAATATTCCATATTGACCAATATTTTGAGTGCAGCACTTAAACTGGGAGTCCTCTTGTACATTAGGGAAGAGCTAGTCAGCCTGCCTAATGATTATGTTTAGTATATTTAAAGACATAAGAGCAACACAAGTCACCATTAGCCATTGTGTTTTCAGGCCCTTGTTTCGTACACATCCTAAACACAAAAATGGCCTTTTTCTGGCAGTGTTAGCCAGGAAGGTTTTTTTGTTTGGTCTAGCAGAGGCCTTTTACCTGACATTTGAAAGAAAATGTTCACTTCTTACTTCTATCAATGTGCCCTTCATGGAACCACAGCAGAAGGTAATAGCATCCTCATTCAGTTGTGTGTATGAAATGGTAAGGTACTTCACATCATTCTCACCGTTTAGATGCTTTCTCTACTAAAATTAACAGATGAAATATGTCTCTTTAGTGATAAAATCCTCTAGATTCTATATTTAACAGACTTCTTTTAATGAGGTTAATATTTCCTTTTTATAGATTCTTCACCGTGCCATGCAGTACTTACTTCCATAGTGTTAGACTGATTATTAACTTAGATAATCAGAATGTTGTTTTGAGAAAAGAATTTGATAATTCAATTCCTTCAGGCTATGAAAGAGAGCCTATAATATGGTTCCCAGGGAATACAGCATGTATGACCTTGGTAAGTAATTGATGACACCTCACATAAGCACCTACTCTTTTATATGATGTTGCAGGATCATATTTGCAAAAAATGCCCAAGCTAGCAGGAGCCACCAGCATTAAGAAAAGCCATTGTTGCAACAAAGGAGGCATGAAAACACAGCGTGCAATACACCCCATCTTGCAGTAATGGAAAGCTCTTGAAAGAGTTTCTTCACAGCAGTCATTTTCCATCTTAATGCTATTTTAAAAGGTGTTTTAAATCGGAGTTAAAATTTCTGTGTAAATATGGGAAACCAAAAGGTTTACCTACAAAACCATTTACCATTTTGTTCAGATAAATGCTGTTCAGTCCTTTGATCCCAACCATGTTACATTGCTGAAGACACTTTGTTTCCAGTGAATGGAGTGAAACCCACTTGGCAGTAGTAGTATCTCATTGATGATATCCACAAGAATACAAGAGGGGTGGAAAAGAAAGTGAATTGAATTTTAAAGAGGAGACAACCTGATTTTTAATTGATAGTTTTCCTTTTTTGCTGCTAAGTTTCAGTTGTA